CCAAAAAAAAAAAAAAAAAAAACCACGAAAGAAAGAACGGAAAAGAAAAAAAGAGAAGAAAAGAGAAGAAAAACCTTTCTCAGACAAGACTTTTAATCCTCCACAATTTTACTTTTGGGTTGAGTTCAACAAGCTTCCCGGAGCTCGACACAAGTAGTCACGATCATGAACCTAACCACGCTTCCCCCCTGCAGTCAATTTCCTATTGTTCTATTTAAAAGAGGGGAAAGATACAGATGAAATGAGAAATAGCTTGATCCTGGCTAGTTGCAAAACGACAGCAGTTTTTGAAGCTCTAAAGGAAGGGTAGCACTGACCACAGACGCGTGTGGCGCTGTCCATTCCTTGGTGCTGAATACTACACACGGGGTTATTTCCAGCCAGCTCAAGCCCTCAGTATCAAAATAGGCTCAGCTACGGTAGACTGAATTCATTTCCGGGGGATAGGAGGTGGGGTGGGGTGCGAGGGGGTCATTTAGACTTTTGCTTTTTCTCTTTCCAGGAAAAAAACATTCTTCCACAAAGTGACACTGTGCATTTTATGGAATAATAATGGCACAGCTTCAGTTCAACACCAAAGTGAAGACCTCTACTGAAGAAAAAAGGAAAGTTCAGAGTTAATAAACCTGCTTTTTCTCTTCCTGAGTTAACACAACAGGTTTTGGGTTCCTAGACCCCCTTGTTGATGGATAAATGAAATAATTTTCTGTTAAAAAATCACGTCACTAATCATTTTCAGATAAGCACAGTAAAAAAGGGGTGATGCTAGGCTTTGCAATATCTGGAATAGAATTCTAGAATTCTAGATATTGTTTTACTGAGTTGAGAAACAGAGGAGAGGAGGAAGTAAACTTGCTTTTTAAGATGGTTTCAATGGTTTAAAAAATATTTTTAAAAGTATTGCTTTAACAATGTCTTCCAGACATGCTCATTTTCTTAGGCAATTTAAATCAGAATCTAGGCAATAGGAGCTTTTCTCCTTTCTGCTCTACCAGCCTCTGTCCAATTTCGGATTTAAAACTGCTGTTCTTCCTACCAAGTGCTGATGTCCAGAGGGCTATTATTAAGAATCCACCCCTTGCCCTCCTCCCAACCCATGAGATAATTAAGTAAATATAAAGAAAACGGACAGAAGGGAGGGAAAGTGTGCTTAACTCCCAGCCTTTGGTTCTTAGTAGTTACATTTAAATGGGGGCACTTCTCTTTGAGAAGTGAAGGTGTTTCTCATAGCTACAGAATTTACAGTCAGTCAGGGAGCCGACTTAACTGATCCCAGCAAACGGTTCCTTCCTTTTCTTAATCCTTCGCTGCTTATTTTAGCCGCTTCTCCACCCCGCCGGGAATACCATCCAGATCTTAGTCCAGGTAGATCTGACGTCAAGAGATGGCTTTCGTCGATTTGACGTGTAAACACTCATTTCCATTCCGGCTAGGAAGGGCTGGGGCTCCACTCAGCCGGGAGACCAAAGAGCGCTCGCCACCGCCCAGCCTCTACTCGCGCGCCTCCTATCTCCTAGCAGAGCAACCCCGAGCGAGAAGTGGTCTAGAGTCCGAGGGTGAAAAGGGCGAGTCTTTCTGGCTTTTCTTCTTTCTTGCTTCTTGTCTTGCTTCTTTTCCTCGTCTCCTTCGACTTGTGTGAGAGCGAGTGTGTGAGCCATGGAGCGAAGAGCCTGGACTCTGCAGTGTACTGCTTTCGCTCTCTTTTGCGCTTGGTATGCATTGAACAGTGTAAAAGCTAAGAGGCAGTTTGTGAATGAATGGGCAGCGGAGATCCCCGGGGGACCGGAGGCAGCTTCAGCCATAGCCGAGGAGCTGGGCTATGACCTTTTGGGTCAGGTAAGAGTTTGCACTTTCCAGAAACTTTCTGGGGCCCAAGGGGACTGGCGGGACTGAAGCGCGATCTCCCAAGTGGGAGCCCCAAGTCGCACTCTCCTGAACCCATTGGCAAAGAGCCGGAGCTTCTGCAGCTCTCGCCCCTGGCGCGCTTGGAGAAAGAAGGCTTGCATTATTTATTGTTTGGGCTGGAAGCAGCCAGGCAGAACGAAGCCGCTGCAGCGGGGTAGAGCCTATTCTTGCTGCCGTCCGCTTTGGCATTTAAATCCATTCCCGCGTGGTTTGGGAGACAAATCCCTCCACACTTGTTCACCGAACTTGAGATGCACGCGGGCTCTTACCGACCAAGCGCCCCCGGGAGAGGCTTACTGCTCTTGCCCCCTGGGACTCAGCTGGTCTCTGCGTCAGGATCCGGCTGTTTCCTTTTTTTCAATATGGCAGCATCAGATCCAAGTCCTGATGCATGGGGTCAAGCAAGCTTGGTGATATCCGCCGGCAGCCTTTCAGGCACGCTCAGGGAGTTGGGAGAACGCCTGCGGCAGAGACTCGAGACCTAGAGGCTGGGGGCCTGCGGAATAGCCTGGGGAGCCGGTGGGAGAAGAGGTAGGTGAAAGACAGGGGACCAACTCTCCGCGCCTCTACTGGGAGGTCCGAGTCTTCACGGGGAACTTGTAAAGTCCGAGCTTCACAACTTTGCTGGGTCAGTCTCCCTTGACATTTTGGTCAAGCTGCCAAAATGACTGTGGGGAAAAGTTATCTTTTTTTCTTGTTCTTCAGCCAAATGCCTAATAGCTTCCCTGAGGATTTCAGCCTGTGATAAAAACTTGCCTGTCCAAGTGACAGCTGGTTTAATAGCTGGGGGGAAGGGTAGGGCGTAAAGCATTATGAGAGTGACAGTTTAGGTGTGGGATTTCCGGGGAATCCCAGGGAGCGTGATTTCTAATCTAAGCTTTCATTTTCTTTGGCTTAGAATCAAGCCCTCTCCCCTTGCCTTGGAAGTGTGCTTTCAAAGCGGGGGAGGAGGGAGTTGTAAAACATTTTGGCGCGGTTTTTCTTTTTCTGGAGGTGGTTTTAGAGAGGCCGCTGAAGTCATGGATGAGTAATCGTAATCGGTGTAGGCGTTGGCGAATCCATAGATCAAATCTGCTGGGGAATACGACTGTCCTTGCCAGAGGCTTCATTCTCCAATTTTATGAGCTAAATTGTCTTTAAAGTGCCCAGCAGAAAAGTCAATACGCAGATTGACTTCTCCATGTCCTAGTAGCAGACCAAGACTTTTTGCTTTTGCCCAGACTCTGTTCTGTGCCAGGCTCCATGTTAGGGGCTGAGGAATAATAGGAAAAGAAACTTTCAAAGAATCAAGAATCTAGAGGAGACCGTTTAGGAACAAATAATTGGAACTGCATGTAACTGATGGAGAAGTTGCACCTGGATTCTTAACATTTGTTGATGGAGGGATTGAAGATGGAAGGGAATTGGGGAGGAGTGAAAAAATGACTGCCCAGTGGAGGAAACATTTTTGAACAGAGTTTAGGAAGACTCAAAAGTTGCCAGGAGAACATGTTGAGATTGGAGAGGCACTCAAGGCATAGAAACCAGATTGTGGCAAACCAAGAAGATACAAATAAAGCAGCTTAGAAGAAACAGCAGGGAATTGTTGGCATCTTAAAACAGAGTGCAAGCAGTAGGTGGAATTGTACTGGTAGTTACTGTGGACATTATGGAAATCTTGTGCATCCTATGGGAGGTAGCTGGGGACTTAATCCTATATCCTCTGGGCAGTTAAAGAGCACTGGTAACTATGTGGAAAAAGATTGGGTAACAGTAAAAAAAAAAATCCCTTTTTTCTTTACTCACTGTTAGCTCCACACATACATCCTAACCTGGACCATTCATTATGGGAATTGCTTTCAAAATTATAAATCCCAAAACCAAACAACAACAAATCAGCATTCTTGGTAGGATCTCCAAAGAAAGGATGGAATAGTCACAAGAAGCTTTAAGAAATAGAGGGGGGAAAAATCTACATTGACATATGATTTGCATATGCTATATTTTCTCCAGCCTCTTCCAGATAAAATGGTATTACTAAAAACATTAAAAAAAAATAATTCTTTGTGAAAGACAGTGCTTTCTTGATTCTGTTTATTTCTCCCTTTGTTTACAGTAATTTAGCATCACTATCCTAAGCTCCTGAAGGTCTCAGGATAAAGCTAGAATTAAAGAGGTGACCAGAAGCAAAACCAGTTGATAGCAGAAAAAGAGCTAAGCATTGGTGATCTTTTTGTATGGCTACTCTTCCCTCTTCCCAACTCCATATATGGAAAGCCTTGAACTAGTGTAAAGTCAAATAGTCTCCACTAGTAGCTTATAACAATTATGGCTATAGATTCAATAGCTATATTTTACAACAACAACAAATCATTTTAGCTGGATGTAACACTGACCATATATAGTATTCAAAGGGTTTACCAGATTTCCACAAATTATTCTTCTCTGACAGGATAAATTTGATAAAATGGGTATTTTTTTTTAAAAGAAATGTCTATCTACACAATATTGTCTCACACCAAAACAAGTGTAGTTCCTCTGAAATCTGTGAAAAAGAAGTATCACCAGTGCCCAAATATACTATGAGCTCAAGCGATAATATTGTGAGCTCCTCTCACTCAACACAATGACAAGAGAGGGAAGGCTTCTATCAGTGTTTTCCTCATAAAGAAAAAAAAAAGTTAACTTCAAGCACACTGAATGAGCTTAATAAAAATTGCCTGTCTCTAAGTTACTTGGGTTACAAGCTAACCCATATGTACTTATTTTGGAAAGTGAATTTTTATTTTATTTTTCTTTCATAGATTGGATCACTTGAAAATCACTACTTATTCAAACATAAAAACCATCCCCGAAGGTCTCGAAGGAGTGCTTTTCATATTACTAAGAGATTATCTGATGATGATCGTGTAAGTGTTGTGCATTTGTCTTCAAACTGGTAACCTGACTTACCTGTTTAATGATTTCCGACAAGAGCAAAAAGCACTTTGCAAATATGAATATTTTTTATTGTGATCACAAATATTTATCTGTAGTGCTTCTTGTTGTTTCCATAGGGTTATGATTGCACATTATTAAAACTGGATTGGATAGACTGAGTTACATAAAATTTATGTACTATACATATTTGATATATTAATATATTAAATCATATTTTATTTTATTTTAATTTATTCAATTTAATTACATTTAATATATATAATATGTTTAAAACACTAACTCACAAATCTAGTCTAAGAGTATGAAAATGAATGGTGAAAATTAGATGGCAGCTCTAATAAAAATGTTTGCCAATACAATCAATTAACAACCTGTTATTATATGCCTATTATGTACCAAGCACTTTGATATCCAATGTGGGGATGCCAAAGAAATGTAATACATGATCATTGATTTTAATAACATTTCAGAATAACTGAAAACACATTCTGCCATGTCTTTGATTTCATTATATGGAGAACTAGTGTTTATGAGGGCACTTTAAATCCATGCCTTCATAGCCAAATGTTTCCACAAGTATTATATTGTTTCACTGAAAGCATTTGATTTCTTTTTATCCTGGTTTGTATATATATTCAATGATTAGGCAAGAGCAGGAAATGTCTAGAATGAGTCTAGGTAAATAGTGTGAGGATGATTTGAATGTATACCTAATGTACCTAATGATTTTTGAAGTCTGTTTTCAAGGTCAGCAAACATATCAATAGAAATGTTGACTATATCAGGAGCATCGAAATTTGCATATAGTGTTGCATTTTCTCAAGAATGTGCTATACTGGTAGAAATGTAACCTGGCTGGCCTGTTTTCTGTTATTATGATATCTGTTGTCTAGTACACTCTAGAGAATTACGGAAGCTTTGTGAGAGATAGAATACATCCGTTCAACTTGCTAGAAAGAAAATAAAAGTACAGAAAGGTGATAGAACTGTTGAAAGTACATGGAATTTATAAACCCTGTGAGATAATTTGCTATTTTATTTGTTCTGAAACTGATAGAATTTTAAAAGGAAGAATAAAAAGACAAATTATGAGGGTAAGGAATGACTGGGCCTGGGTTACCAGCAACCACACCTGGGCAAAGAATGCTGTGTGAGTACATTGTATAGCGACCCACAGCTCCTATGCACCTAAGGCTAGCCTTTACTAAGGTTAATGGCTAGATGTGTGAGACCAATTCAAAGGCTCAACATTACTTGAAAGGGTTCTTGTCCAGTGAAGTCTTCCTTTTGCCATCCCAGAGCAGATGACTCATTGTATGGGCTCTGTAAAGTAGGACAACTTCCAAGACTCTGGCTAAGCTTAGTCCTTGGGCATAGCAAGAAAGAGATTTCCTTGTCTGCCTAAATGCATTCCTGACATTAATGCACAAGAAGTCAAACTAACTCCCTTCTCATATTCACAGAAGAAAATTGGACAGAGTGGAGCATACCTGTTATTATTACTGCAAGTGTCTCACTAAAGTGAACAGATAGCCCAGTTCTATTGGGCTATTTAGATATTGTTTAATAGTTGATTTGGAGGGGAATATCTCAGAAATAATGAAGGAAAGCTAAGAATTTAGTCTGCAATATAACTTCATAAAAAAGGGAGTGTATATAATATTATGAAAAATTATCCACAGAATAACTTTATTTTAGGAAAAATCCTAGAACCCATAGAAGCCAGTAGTGGAAAGTTGGACTAGATGATCTTTAATGCTCTTCCCATATCAAAAGGATTATTTATAATTAAGTACATGCTACCTATTATGTACATAATAGAAAGACACCACCAATTTCTTCTATTCCATTTGTGCTGTTCTTATAGAGATTAATATGGGATTTGGAGTTAATGACATTAATCATAACACTATTTCCAACAATTGGATGTTTATCTGATCAGATGGCAGAGTACCTCTTCTTATATTCTATTTTTTTTAAAAAATTGCTTTTGATTTTCATTTTATTGCCTTCTTTTCGATGGAGGATAATATTCTTTCAAATTAGCCCTCTGTAATGCAGCAATAGGCTATCGTTACAAGTCTTTTAATGAAATTTCCAACTGTAAGTGACTCTCTTCATCAAAGACTAGTACTTGTTTCCTAGCAGCCAGCTTCCAAAGACCAACTCAGATGACAGGCAGTATATTCCAAGCATTGAGGTATTTTAAACCAAAACAATTAAGCTTGAACATACAGACTCTTTAAAAATAAATCACAGTGACTAATTTCTAGCTTTCAAGTACCTCCCAATATTTATTATAGGTTTGCAGTAGATTTTTCTAATTACAAATTCAGGACAGTCTTAGTGGATAGTTTTATTCTTTAGCTGCAAATTATGGTTTAGTTTTTATTTTTGATTCTGACTCATGTCAGATTGTTCTCACATTAAAAACATCCCACCAGACACTGGACTATCATCAACGTGTATGACAGAGAGAATGTTTTGGGTAGGAAACAGTCATGTTGCCCAGCGAAATAAGAGCATGGTATTACTTCATAATGAATATAACCATAAGGCAGTCCCTCTCCCTCAGGGTCTCAAGTATAACAGGATTATGCCATAAATGTGGGAAAGGTAATTTTTGTATTGTCAAATCTCTGTGCATAATACATGAGACTAAATTAATGGTAAGTGTGCATGGTCAGTAGTACTCATTCATCACCCTGGATCTGTTTCTCATATTAAATACTCTTAAGCAGGAGGCAGAAGCACAGGGGAGCCAGAGTTTCAGATTTGCAAAGACAAAGCACCTTTCTTGTCATGCATAACATTTGCAACTTCTACCTTTTGCATGTAAAGAAAGAGAAATTAAGCTGTAAGAGCACCTTAACAGCAGTCGCTGGAATCTCTTAGCCTGTTGACTCATTCCATGAAAATGGACAAATTTTCAGCTACAAAACTCTGAGATCTCAATAAAAAATGGGTATTATGGTCCATTTGCTGATGAAAGCAGTCTGAACTTTTACTTCCACTGGAATCACAGCGTAAATAATTTGAGGGAATCATCACTTCACTGACTCCTTCTCCTCCCCCTAAAGGTACAGTTTACTGTAATAGAGGAAATGTTCATCTCCTACTGCCCAGTGGGCAATCCTGTCTTCTCACTGAGCTGCCAGTGTTATCTGTAGTCAAATGAAAACATTTTAGAGCTGCCTCACCTCTGATGGGGAGGGTACTGTAACTAGTTAAAGGGAAGATGGTTACACAAAGGTGGGTATCTGAGTGCTGATTTTCTTGCTATGAATATTTATTTTAACTCCTTGTAGGTGATATGGGCTGAACAACAATATGAAAAAGAGAGAAGTAAGCGTTCAGTTCTAAGAGACTCAGCACTAAATCTCTTCAATGATCCGATGTGGAATCAGCAGTGGTACTTGGTAAGTACTTCCAAAAAGACTGTATAGGACCTGGGATACTTATTTTATTAAATCTGCACAATAGATTTTTTTAATGATGGGGAATTCATCAGAAGGCTATGTTACCTGGAAATTAGGGCTGATGGGAACTTCCATCATCTGGATCTCCCGTTTTACTAGGTGAAAGTGTCTGAAACACAGATATTTAGCTGCTATGAAAGCTATGATCTTTGAAAGCTGCTATGAAAGAGAAGAAAGTTTGCTACTTTCTTCTCTTAAGCTTATCTGGAGTAAATGCAGAATTGTGTCTTGCAAGTTAAGGGTTCAAAAACAGTAATCGTGGCAAAAATCACATTTGGTCAAAGTTACTCTTGAGAACCTTTAAATCATCCAAAAGGTAGAGTGAACATGATTCATTATATATGGTCCTGAGTGGCAATTCTTACATGCTAACAAGTGAGAATTTCTGAGCTAAGCTAAAGGAAAGAATACAAGGAGACAAAAGACATCTACATGCAGATGTATAGACTTATAAACTGTTTTGCTTTTAAGATACCAAATCTTCATTGGTATGTGAGTGTTGAGTAGAGAAATTTTAAGTGTTCTTTCTTACCTGCAGAATATTCTCCCTTCTGTTTTAATATTAAGACTCTACAGCAGTCATACATATTGATAGAAGTGTTCTTTTGTTGAGAGTATTATAAAATATAAGTTTTCATGACAACTATAAGCTAAGGTTACACATCCTTTTTGCATAAAAGATGGGAGAAGGGATCAATTCTTCTTGACATTCTCTTAACCTAGGTAGTACTTGCTCATTGCAGTGAAAGAAACTCATTAACATCTGTGTATTGACTATGCCAAATACTATCCTAAGTGTTTGACATGAATTAACTCCTTTAATTCTCACATTATATTGTAGATACGATGCTTATACCCATTTAGCAGATGAAGAAACAGAGACAAGGGCAAGTTGAGTAACTTGCCAAAATCATATGGCTACCAGTGGTGGGGCCATAATTCATGGCTCCAGAGGCCATACTCTTAATGACCACACCATATGATTGTTCTTGCAATTGACACAGAGGTCTTCTTCTCTGGCTTTGTCCAAAAATCTATCTGTAGTTCCAACCTCCTGTGATTCAGCTTTGTATTGGCCTAGTAAGAGTTTTCCCCTCCTTCTTTCTGAGGAGCATCAGCCAGGGCACAATTCATTCAGACATTTTTTGACTGTTATTATTTATAAATTTTTTACTGTCCCCTTCACCAGAAACCTGGCACTTTTCTAAAACATCTCCCTTATATGCTTTCCCAAGCTCATATCTCTATTCCCTTCCTGTCCAGCTGTTCTCCCTTATAGTCCCATACACTGTAACTATCAGAAAATTTATCTGAAAAAAGAAAACTCCACATCTCCTCTCATAGATACTTACCCTCTAAATCACTCATACTTGGAAAGAGGCAATTAAATTGCAAGTCCTGGTGAGACAGCAGCCTCCTGGGCATTCCAGGTTCTGCTTTTTCTTTCCGAAAAGTTATTAAAACATCCGTGAATAACTGTCAAACAAACAATGTAAAGTAGGTTCAGTGTGGCAAGGGAAGCTCAGGATTTGGGGAGAGATGGAAATATGGGACATCACATAAAACTTTGGTAGATAAAAAACCTGAGCATATCATTATAAATGAATGAAACTTAGGGATCAACTTCTTAGAAGCCATGTATCTCAGTGAGAAGGGGCACAGGGTGATTCATCCTTTCGAATGATTTTTCCATTAGAACAATTGGGAAAAGAACAGCACTCTTATGATTCACTTGCCCTACCATCAACTTTATTTTTTTATTTCACCTAATTGCATTCTTTCTAAAAGTAGAGTGACCCTAGGAAAAAGAAAGATGGGTCTTCGGACTAGAGCTTCAGTTTTCATTTTGCAGTAAGCAAATCATGATTTTACCAATTCTTTGTTTTTCTTTACCAGCAAGATACTAGGATGACTGCATCCCTGCCCAAGCTGGATCTCCATGTGATACCTGTTTGGCAAAAAGGCATCACAGGCAAAGGAGTTGTTATCACAGTACTGGATGATGGTTTGGAGTGGAATCACACAGACATCTATGCCAATTATGTGAGTCTGGGCCCTCCCATGACTGCAACTTAGGGAGCTGTCTACACAGACACATAGTTAAGGCTTTCCTTTCCTCAAGTGGAAGACTTCTCGGATACTGGCCCTAGGAACTATGGGCCAAGGTTTTGCTATTTCCCTCACCCTCCTGCCAGTACATATGAACTTTTTTTTGTGTGAGTAGGCACTTAAAGAATTCAGTGGAGCCAAGGATTGTACAAAAGCTTGTGTGCTGGGGAGGGAGAAGGCACCTATACAAATCAAATTATTAAAAGCCATTCACACTCTATATCACTCAGTATCTAGGGCATTAAAGCAATCAAATAAAGAATAATGCCTTAGATCATTTTTCACAGTCTTCTTCCTCACTCACATCCTTTATAGGTGAATATCTCTAACATTATACAATTATGTGAATGTGATTCCTTCCATGCAAATTCAAATAATGCAAAAATGGCTCTCAGAGAAGAGAAAAGTTTATCTTAAATGGAAAATAAGTAAATGAAAACTATTTACTTAATTGTTAAGTTCTAAGTGATATCTTAGGTCTTTAGATCAGTGTTTCATCTTTAAAATTGTCCCATGTGTTTCTCTCACCCTTTCCATTCATTCAAAATTCTCCAGCTAAAGAGCAAAGGAAAATTAAAGGAAAAGAAAGGAAGAAAAAGATTAGTAGAAAGTAGGAATTATTAAAAGATATGGAAAGTGTAGAGAAGAGGCTATAGTGGTAGTAGAATTCCTACATGGGAGATGTTTAAGTGTAGCAATCTGATTGGAAAAGGAGGTGGGACCTAGAAGCATGCCTTAAATTTCAAGCACACTTTATTCAAGTTAGATGCTTAGAGTAATTGGGAAGGCTGAAGAGATCACTGTGGACCTGAGCTCCACCCCACGGTCACCTATTTGTACCTGTAATCATAAGAAAGATGAGTATCCAAGTGTTGCTAACTAGCTCTGTAGTTAGTTGTCATTCAACTTCTCTGGGTCTCAGTGTTCTCACTTAAAAAATGAGGCAGTTGAAATAAGTTAACTCTGATTCCTTCGGTTGTAATATACTATGAGCTTAATGAGCTACAGGTTTGGTGACATTCAGTGCTAATTGTATGCTTGCTCACTCTTCTGTGTATATCATCTTTGCCTAGTTTATAGGTATAATGAATGATCAGAAACTGGGTCAGAAATTCTGAAATGCAGAATTTGAGCTATCAGCCAGGATGGAAGGGGTAGAGGGCTTGGGAGGTGTTAACTTTTTTTAATGATGCTACAGGATTATTTTTTATTCTCTTTAGGATCCAGAGGCTAGCTATGATTTTAATGATAATGACCATGATCCATTTCCCCGTTATGATCCCACAAATGAGAACAAGTGAGTAAATGTGGATGGGGGGGGTAGAGGGGGGAAAAAGTACTTTAAAATGCTTTTATCTCATTTGAGAAAATTATACAATAAATATGAACCATATTTCAGCTCTCAGAAAAGTTTTCATGCATACCAATCCATATCATAATATTTTGTTCCTTTTAAAACAGAAACCAATGCTTCTATTTTTATATTTCTTTTGGCTTACAGGACCATAGTTCAATTAAACTTTCTTCTTATGTTGCAAATGCTCACCTCAAATGGCACTGAATAGTTATGGCTTTAGAAAGAATGTTTGGGTCATAAAGAGTAAAATCCTCCAGCCTACCCTCCCTAACCCCATCAATGAATGCTTTACTATTTGCAACATGTTTGATGTTAGTTGTGAAAATAAAAATAGAAGACAAAGATAACAATTCCCCATGACTTCTTTTAGTGGCCACAGCCATGCTCGTCAGTTCCCTCAGAAAAGCATATCAGACAACAAAAGCCAGATATCAGACAACAGAAATACACTCTGAGGCCTGGCTCTCAAATCCAACACGTTTTCTGGGGCATTGGACTAGTCAGTAACCTTTCCCAGAGTTTCTGCTGCAGATTCTAAAGCTAAAGGGAAGGGAAAGACAATTACCTTCTGACTCCTAAAATAATTCTCTGTAGCAGTCACAATGTGATGAGGGAGTCCAAGAGCCAGACCTGCCAAAGCAAGAGGCCAGATAAAACCCAGAGCCAGGAGACTTTCTAACCTTCTTTCCTAGCTGCAAAGAAACAACACCCTCTAGCCACGTGGCCTCAGATGTCCATGGCCATGTGAGAACTCATCTTTGCACATGTTATCTTCATAACTTCAGGAAAACTTTCACACTTTCTTCTTCATTTGCTCCACGGAGAAGAGACTTGCACAAAAATAGATCAAAGCCAAGGCAAAATCAGGGCTTGTTGCTACAAATGGGATGGAAAGATGCTACATAAAGTGGTTCTTTTTTCTCTCTGTATGGCTTTCTTTCTTTTGGACTATTACCCAACTTGGGTCAATTGAGCTCTCTCTCACTTGCTCTCTTTCTCCCTCTTTCCCTCTTTCTTTAGCTCTTATTCTCACTCAAAATTCCTATGTGGCTGGTGCAGTAATGTTGATCTAAAGTTTTTCTTTGGATGATCCCCTTTCCAGAAGTGCAACAAACACCAGGAAGAGAGCTGAGGCTCATGGACTTGGCCTCAACTTCTGGGTGTATATTTCCTCCTTGGAGAAAAGGGGAAACTTGGGGAAGGTTCCAAGATATTGCTTCTTTCAGTACCATTTACTTCCAGGGTTTATTTCTTAAAGGTGCTAACTGCAAATAATGCTGAAAACTTAAAATATTCCCATCTCAATACAACAGGAACCACAATGGGTGCCCTCAGAAGAAAGTGAGATATCTCAGGAACTTATGGCAGGGACCCCAGACAAACTTGGAGCTATATTTCTGAGCCAGGACAGTATAGGGCCAGGAGAAATATGTGCTCTTTTGGAGCATGATCTTGTAATATTAGCCTGGCTGGTGGTCATTGCTTTGCCAATTATCAGTATAGAAAGTGACCTTTAGGAAATCACTTACCTCTCTCTGCCTCTATTTTGCACTTTTATCTCCCCAAATGGGTGATAATGCACTTGCTCTCCACTCTCCTGAAAGGAACTTCCTGAGGAAATGAACAATAGCTTCTTGGAAGAAAGGGGCACCCTTCTTAGAATGAAGTAAAAATGACAACTCTCCTTCCACCCCCTTGGCCAAGACCAAAAGAGAAATCTTCTCTCAGCCATATGGGTGCAGCTGAGGAGACTGTTAGCTGGAAGTGTCAGCCTTCTTCCTAGGCAGCATACTCTAGGTCTGGCCCCATGATCCAATATGGATGATAAATTGTGTAGTGGCTGCATGATAGCTGAATACTTGGTGAAATGATATTCTCTAGAGTTTCTCTACTCATGAGAAGAGGGACTCAGATTGCCCTTTCCCCTCCCCTACAAAGGAGGAGTCTCATATCCAGCATTTATAATAGCCACATTTCCCCTAATTCATGGAGGTCCAAAGCCTTCAAAGAAGTTGCCCATATGATGGTAATTATTTTATGCCTAAAAACCCGTGAGTTTCTAGAGCATAGCCTGCCATGGACCTCCCACACAGCATAGAGTTAGTGTGACATAGCCAAACAGTTAAGAGCATAGGCTTTGCAGCTGGATTTAGATTAAATATTAGATCTGCCACTTAGTAGTTGGATGGCCTTGAACAAATTACTTAACTTCTTTTGTGCCTCAGTTTTATCATCTATTAAAAAGGGATAATAATAGTATCTACTTTGTTCGGTTATTATGGTGTTTAAATGGGTTTGTATAGGTAATTGGCTTGTATAATATCTGGTACATAGAAAAAGTTGTGTTTGTTTTGATGATGATGATGACGATGAAGTTTTCTCATTTAGCAACTAAGACCTCCTTCCAGTAAGAAATCAGCATGACAAGAATAATATCCAAGAGGAGCAGAAGCAGAGACAGGTCAATTTTCTGAGCCAATTCAGGATCTGCTCTTTGAAAATGACACAATAAGTAACTATCTCTCAGGGTCCTCTTGACTATCAACCAAAAAGGTAGCATCCCTATCATTTATCAAGAGGTATAATAAAAAATAGAGTTACCCTTCTAGCATGTTGTCAGAAATAAATCCCTTAGGTTTAGAAAATGAATGGCTCCATTTTGCCTTGGACTTTATAGCATTTAGAGACCTATTATATCCCAATTCCAAGGGCATTATCTCTCTAAACTATCTGTGTTGCTGCTCTTCTTTATTACTATGTAAATGAGATTAATAGAAGCTGCATTTGAATTCTCCTCTGCAAATCAAAAGAGGAATCACTAAATAATAAAATCCCAAAAGTACAGGTAACTCTTACTATTAAGCTGCCATGAATCTATATTCAAAATTTCAATACCAATTACAGATTATTTTTCTAGTTAAATAACATGTGTGACAAGGATGTTTTAACCAGTGTAATATTAGTCTTTAAACTATCTTGTGGAATAATTTTTTAAAAATCAATTTGTTTAAATGCCAGTTACTACCATTGTTCTAAGATAATAAAGGGTTCTTTTATCTCAGAGCCTAATTTAAGGAAAGAAAAAAAGCTGCAGGTCTACAAAGAATGACATAGTACCACTTTGATAAAGCCTTCTCTTTTTCTAAAAGTGTGGAGGTGGGAAGTGAGGGCAAGAGGAGGGAAAAACATCTACCCTTTTTTGTACCATGATCCTACTGGACCTTTCAAGAAAATAATGTTCAGTACACAAGGAGAGAGAAATAATAGGTGGTGTCACAGTGTATCATTTTTAGGACAGAGGTGCTGTGCTGGGAATGTTTGCCAACAATTGGATTCTATTGGCTCAGGCGAGAGACTTTGCTATCCTGGCCTTAGTTCCCATTCTGTGTAAATGGAAACACAGGTGGTGGACTTCTAGGAACACACTTGTCAGAAGGTGACAACTCAGTTTCTCCTCCTACAAAAGCAAAGAGGGTTAATCCATCAAAGCATAAGCTTCCTTTTATGTGTTCAGTGTGCACACATTTCTCAGAGCATGGGTGGTTGGTCAGGACACTTTCAGTTGCAAGTGAGGGAATCTTAACTCAAAGATTAAGTAAAATGGGCATTTAAAAAAAAAATTACTCAAGGGATGGTCTAGCTTCAGGCATTCCAAGATCTGGGAGCTCAAATAATATGCTGTCAGGACTTCAATCACTGTCTCCATCTCTTAGTCTCTTGCCTCCAATTAGCTTCATTCTCAAAAAGTAAAAGAAATCTTGCCTGGCGGCAAGCTCCACATGGCTCACATGGAACTTAAAGCTGAAGAATTTAGAGAAAGACTAGAATTCTCTTGCCTGGAATGTACAACAATCCTTGAAAGCTGTCTGGGAAGAGGAGCCTCATGAGAGAATCAAAAGGAGTGAGGGAGAGCTCCTTCCCAAAAAGGACAAAATGCTAGGAAAAAAAAAAAAGTGGCAGATATCTGCTACATTAGGAAAGACCTCGAATTAAAGATAACTACAGGGGCACCGGGGTGGCTCAGTTGGTTAAGTGTGGGACTTTGGCTCAGGTCATGATCTCACAGTTTGTGAGTTTGAGCCCCAAGTTGGGCTCTGTGCTGACAGCTCAGAGCCTAGAGCTTGCTTTATATTCAGTGTCTCCCTCTTGTCTCCCTCTCTCTGCGCCTTCCCACCTCACATTCTGTCTCTCTCTGTCTCAAAAATAAATAAAGGTTAAAAAAAAAGATAATTATATTGTTCTGACTTAGGATTCCTATCCAGTATTAATATGAAGAAGCAGAAATATCATTTAGTAAAAGGAGACCAAGAAATGATCTTTGGTACTTTAGAATAAAAGATACATGAAAGAGAATTATTTTGGATAGTCAATTTCAAATTTTTATATTCCATGCTGAGCAAAATAGATGTCTACTATAATAGTGTCTAAAAGTAGCTGGTTGACAGAGTTGCTCAGAGCTAACTTTTCCCCTCTTTTCTGTTAGCTCCTCCAAAGTATCAACAGCCTTTACACTGCTTCCAAAATGCAGTAACGTCGTGAAATAAATTCACATTAAAGTTCTCTTGACTTATTGACCCTCCTGAGGTCAGGGACATGGTGGGAAAGGACGATTATTATCCCCACATTTTCAGAATTGATGTTTTAATGCTAGAATCTGCTCTGTTTTAGAGATTGACATTTCCCTCCAAGTACTCTGAAATCATAAATTACCCTCTTTGCCTGATTACAAAACCAGTCTTCTTCAGGCTTCCAGCCCCAATCAGAGTTACAGGAGAACCCTGATTTCCCAATTAGCCTGGAGTTTCCTATTAAAATCTCAAACTCCTCTTGGTACCAGAAAACCCTCAGTTGCTTTAGTTTGGTAGTATATGGTTAGAGGAAGGGAAGAGGGCTTAAGAGGAGAATTCTGTTCTACTTACCCTACTAGGACTGGTCAGAATAACCTAATCCAAGGAGGTCACTAGGGATGGAGTGAGGAGCTACTTCACCAAAAAGTATGGAATAGAAACCATGATTTCTAAAAGTGTCAGAATTGCTCACGATAGTATCCATAGCTAACACTTCCTGAACTCTTATATTATACCAGCCACTATTCTAAGTGCTATACATGCAATATCTCACATGTTTGCAACAATACTCTTGAGGACAAATGACTTACCTAAGGTCACACCACTAGTCAGTGGCAGAAGCTGGAATTTGAATCACATACTTCAACTCCAGTACCCTTTCAACAACCAGGTACCCTGATACCTGCACTTCAACAAATACTGATGGGAAGGAGACCAGCAACAAAGGTTGACCAAAAAGTTAATATGACCATGTACCATGGATTCATGTGCAAATAACAGTTTGCCCTCACTTATGTTTTATAATATCTATTTTTTAATCTTCAGACATGGGACCAGATGTGCAGGAGAAATTGCCATGCAAGCAAATAATCACAAGTGTGGGGTCGGAGTTGCATACAATTCCAAAGTCGGAGGTAAAGCAGAGGGTTGCTCCTGCAGTTCTGCACTTCAATTTGACTCTTGCATCACTTGGTGTAAATGAGGTGGGAAGGGGGGCTTTCAACAACCAGAAGAAGAAATGAATTCCATGTAGAATGTACTGCAGGATTTGCAAACAAATCAATGGATCTGGATTCCTAAAAAATGATAGCTGAATACAGCCTGTACATCTTTGTGGAGAGAAAAATGGAAATGTTGAAAAGCTTTTGAGCCAAATCTAATTTTCTCTGTGTGCTAATTTACAAGGGTTTGTTATTGAGTACTTGCTAAAGGAACAGAAGGAGGAGGTAAATTTAGGAAAAGACTTTCTCTGCCTCTCAATTCTGTAGTTCTTCATTTCATAGCAAATAACAGTCTTAAAAAAATAAATGAATACGTTCTTGTTATATGAAGAAGCTAAAGGTTATCTTTGACAGCACGGATTTAGAGTCCCTAGCTATTTCAGTCAATGCCTCTATTGGGAAATATATAGTAAGTTCCATCAGGGCAGTTTAATAAAGGAATTATTTGTAAGACTTAAAGGAAGCCATTATTATATTATACACTTAATATACAATAACATATTGTATATTACAATATACATTATATTATATTGTGTATATTATAATATACAATATAACTAATAGGAATTAAAATAAAAACTTGAAAAAAAAGAGATAAGGGAAGCCAACAAGGGCTAATAAATAAGAGCAGATGTGATGACCTTTGGGCCTAAAGGAGCATGGGAAAGGAGAGGTCAGTGGCAACTGTAGAGAGAAAGCTGTGGCCATAGGAGAGAACCACTGTACAGGAGCTGTAGCCCTGAGTTACAACAGAGCTTCTTCTAGGCAAGGAGTGTCCCAGGGAATGAGTCGCCCATTCTCTTCCCACCCCCCATTCTCCTGCCTGTTGGTTGAACCCAGTGAGAAGGCAAGAGAACTCATTGGTGAGGTCCATATCCCTGTGAAGAAGGGTGGACAGTAGACCTACACTGGCTCACATTCTCTCTCCTCTTTTCACTGTCCTTACCTTGGTCTTTCGCAGGTTACAAACTTTGAGTTTAGTTTGTTTTCTAAAACTGCTATAAAAAAAAAGATCAACTGTAGAACATGCCAATGATAGTAAAACTGCTTTAAACTCGACCTGAGGATGCCTTGAATTTGATTATGATTTCCTGTTTAGAAATCAAATAAATACACATCCTGGCATGGATAATGAATCACTAATACAGCATACTATTAAACTTTGCGTCATTCCTGATTTCTTTGATACTAGCATAGTCAAATGCCATGGGATTTTTTTTTTCCTTTTTAAGTGCCATGTTAATTTAAAGAAAATGAAGACAGGGGCACAAATTAGGTAATCACTTAGAGAAATAATTCATTTTTTAAGATGATGTACTATCTAGCTATAGTTTGTGAGAGAATTTTCTGATCCCTTCATTTTATTGAGGAGTAATCAGAAACAAGTTTCTCAAGGTAACAGCTATTTGTGGCAGTGTAGAACCAAAACACAAGACTTCCGATTGCAAGTCTACTGAGATTTTTTTTTCATTATTCCACCCTTTGGTGATCTAGTCCCAAATGCATTTTTTAATAATACTTTTCATTTATTAGGGACTTACTGTATGTCCATCACTGATCCTATAATACATTGTAGGTTGTGTATTCTGTTAGTTAACAGGTTGATTTTAGGTGCCAAATTTCTGGGATTCAGGTCTCAGCTCCCCAATATCAAGTTGTATGATCCTGAGCAAGCCATTGTGCCTCTTACAGTCCACCTATAAAATTGGGAAAATTATAGCATCTACCTTAAATGGTTGTCAAAAAGATAGAAGAGAGTCCATATGTTCAAGGCCTGTAGAATGTTAGCTGCGTATAGTACATCCTCAATGCATGTAAGCTGCTATCTGTTATCATCCCCATTTTAAACTGAAAAAAAAAAAACAAAAAACAACTGAGGCACAAGAGGTTGAGTGGCTTGCACAAGATCACAAAGCTAGTAAGTACAGCTGGGATTTTTCTTTTTCCAAAATAAATTTTCAAATAACTTTGTTTTAATCAATGTGACTTTAGCTAATTATGTTAATTACATATTCTTTTACCTATGCTCCATAGTGAATAATGGGGTACAAATCTAAGGCTGTGCAGTTAACTATATTATCAGCCTGAAGCCAGGAATAACCAGGTAGCTGCTCGTATTTGTCTCAATTGCCTTTGCCTTCCTGGCTCTTGAATACATGAGTCTGATAATGCGTGACAGCCTGTTAGAAAGCACAAAGAACTACCATGTCTGCCTTCTCCTGATGAAAAATGATTCCCCCTTAGGAGCAAAATCCATGGCAATGATTTCATCCTTGAGATTATTTAGAAGAAAAGGAAGCATGTTCCTTGAAAATATTTCTTAGCAAACATATAAAAGAATGGCCTCTGGGTTATTTTTAATCAGTGCTTAGAAACAAGAGTTCTTTCCCTGTTTGTTAGTTTCCTATTGTGGGTAGATCTTTTCAAGCTGCACAGTGTTCCATACAAAATCCTTCATATAGCACAGGATGGGCAACAGTTATTTGTGGTATAGTCATGAACAGACATGTCAAGGTAGGGCTGTTTGTTGGCTCCTTCTGAAAACTATCCTGTCATTTTCAGGTTATTGAGGTAGTGAATGGAGGGGAGGTATTTTGTAATCAATAACAATCATGGCCACTGCTTAGTGCATTTAGTTATTTCCAAAGGGAAGATAACAAAGTTTATGGACACTGTGACTTGTATCTTCCTTCTGTGCTCATAGTAGCCTGGTCATGGGCACCTGAGACATGCAGTGGTTACCTTCTTTTAAACTCTTTTGCGAGTCTTTTATAAAATGAATATTAAGACCACTATGCCATTCTACATGTTCATGCTGACATCCACTTATGTGTTTTTTGTTTGACTTTCTGTTTAGGCATAAGAATGCTGGATGGCATTGTGACTGACGCTATTGAAGCCAGTTCAATTGGATTCAATCCCGGACATGTGGATATTTACAGTGCCAGTTGGGGCCCTAATGATGATGGGAAAACTGTGGAAGGGCCTGGCCGACTAGCCCAGAAGGCTTTTGAATTTGGTGTTAAGCAGGTGAGATACTTAATATAGATCTACCTGAAATGAAACCTGGCCATTTGTATATGAAGGAAAGGGAAGAACACTTAGTTTATATCAAAAGAAATGGCTTTGAATTTCTTATTGTTGCTTACAATTTGAAATGCATTTAGAGAGCCAAATCATTCTTCAGAGGGATGGAACTGAAGGGTTAAGGGAGTTTTCCCTAATTGGGTCTGACATTCAATAGAGATTCATTACTCTTAGAGTATTTACTTAAAAAATACTATGAATATGTCCTTTCTCATTTTTCTGCTGCTTTAAGATTTTTACACTAGGTAAACTACTACCCAGACTTCTTTCAAATCTCTAGAGACACATCCTTAAATATAGCTACATGCTACTTCCTCTTTTGTATGTGCCTGGTACATACTTGTGCCTTGATTGTGTTGCTCCATTTACCGCATTCTTACCAGGATTCTAAGGCCTTGTTCTGCACAGGATAAAACAAAAGTAGAAACTTTGGAGAGCACAAATTGAGAAGTCATAGAAAGAGTAGCCTTGACGAATTTCTTTCAACTGAAGAGTCCCTTTTAATGCAGCTGCAAAACAGATCTGAATAATGTCTGATTTTGTCATTCTATCAGTCAGCCAGAAGATTTAAGCAGAAAGAGAGGAAGTTCAAAGATTCAAACGCAGCAACATAAGCCAAGGAAAGAGTGAGAGAATACAAGCAAGTGCTAAAGGCCAGATTGTGAATCCTTACAATAAGGAAAAGAAAGAAAGAAAGAAAGAAAGAAAGAAAGAAAGAAAGAAAGAAAGAAAGAAGGAAAGAAAGAAAAGCACTCACTGACTCATCCCAGAGAGGGCCCAGATGAAGGAGGACTAGCAGAGCCATGGCCCAGTGGCTTGTAATATGAAGTCTTGTGAGATTTCCAGCATGGATGCTGGAGCACCTGGCATTGAAACAGACTCCAAATAAATGTCTCTGGGAACTTCATGCATGTATTTGTTGGGGATTTTATGGGGATGTGACAGTGATCCCAACAGATGATAGATGTGATATAGTCTGGCTTTTCTTTTAGGGAAGACAAGGAAAGGGCTCCATCTTCGTCTGGGCTTCTGGGAACGGGGGACGTCAGGGAGATAACTGTGATTGTGATGGCTACACAGACAGCATCTACACCATCTCCATCAGCAGTGCCTCCCAGCAAGGCCTGTCTCCCTGGTATGCTGAGAAGTGCTCCTCCACCCTGGCCACCTCATACAGCAGTGGCGATTACACCGACCAGCGAATCGTATGTTGCTTTTGTCTAACTCCTCTGCTTAGGTAGGGGAGCAGGGCTTGCATTCAACAAGATCCTTTGGTCAGTACCTTTGGCAAAATTGCTTGGCTTAAGCTTGATGACTCAGCTGGGGAGATTCACACTTTGCTCACCTGAAAGGCTGACATCTATTGGGGAGTTTTCTCTCTCAAGGATAATGATGCCTCTGCCAAGATGATGTTGCCTCTCTGTCATCTTTAAACCCAGCCCTGGGAAGCCACTAAATTGTCATTACATACAGCCAAGAATCAAAATATCTATTCTGCTTGTGTGATGCCTCCCTGAGAACAGCCTTAAAGGAGATTACAGGGTTGTAGGGGCTTCACCACCCTTGTACTTATTGATCCTTTAATAGCGGGGATATGGTCTAACATGCCCTTTAGCAGATGATAAAAATACAGAACATACAATAGCTATGTTTCCTATGAATGGATAACCTGCAGGAAAATAACGGTCTAAATTTCCCCCGAGATGAACTTCTCAGCATCTGAATAAACAGCTCAGGAAGGTTATATGCTCAGAGAGCATCTCCAGCCCACACTTGGCTGTGCCTTCACTTCCATGAGTCAGACTGCCAAGGGCAATTATTGGATTTCCCTTCAAGGGCACAGTGATGAAGGGCCATTTGGGGGCTTTGCAAACAAAGGGAAGTACTTTTAATTTTAAACTGTATGGTCCCAAATTTTAACTCCTGATACAGAAAGAACCATCTAGCTAAAGTATCTAAATTCTAATCTCTATGAAATAATAGGTCATGATTCATTTAGATTGTAGGTGAACCCCATGATAATTAGACACTGGAATGTGTGTAAGATTCATATTAATGGCGTCTCAAAAAAAATTGCTAGTTCTCTTTTCCATACAGGATCACTATTCTGGAACTCTGCCTGCTTCTGCAACTTACTCTAGTTTAGACAGTAAACCTCTAGCCTCAACTTGAAACATTGGCCTCCCTCTCGTGCCCTTATATTCAATTACTCAAATAATAGATGGTGATATTCTACCCAGAAAATCTTTATGACAGGTATATTTTATAGCCTTTGAAAGAGGCATAGCAGACATGTATCCCACTTATATTCAGAGTCCCTGACTATTGTTGTCCCTAGGGGTATCTAAAGTTGCTTTTCAGAAAGTGGCCTGTTACACATTTCAGTCACCATTTCATAGACTGTCCCTCATCTGAGCTATTATGCTGTGAAGTAGGAGGAAGAGTTTCCATCTTTGTAAAGTTCTCTCCTTAGGTAAATCTGCCATAGGAGAGACAGCTGGTGGATTCTATTTGAGATGGTTGCAATAACATAGCCTTTGTCTTACGCAAACCTTTTCCTCAGCACAGTCATCTCTGGGGGCTTACTTGCGTCAATAGGGAAAAAGGACAACCTTGCTTCCGCAGCCCTCTAAGGAGCAGAGCCACCATAACTTGAGAAATTCAGCGACTCAAAGTGGGAAGCCAAAGGAGGTGATAATAGAACAAATTATTTTTTTACACCTCCCTCCCACACATTGAAATCTCTAGCTAAAAACGATAGTGCAGGAGCCTGGGTGGGTGTCTTGTTAGTAATCCTTTGGCCCGACTACTTGCTAAACCAGCAATGCTATGGTCCTTAAGGCAGACTGATTGGAAGTCTTTTTGGTTTCTTCCCTTCAGTCTTGGCAACCTCTTCATTAAGATAAAATTAGCCTGGGTAATTCCTTACGTGCAGTAATATTGTGTAAGAATGCTTTCACAGACAGGATCTCATTTCATCCTCAGAATATGAGTCAGGAAATGTCAACCTCATTCTACAGATGGGGAAACCATGTGCCCATGGGACACATCTACTGAGTAGCAGTTTTACAATTTGTAACCAGATCAGAATCTGACACACCTTTCATTTATTTGAAAAACACCATTTTCATCATAGTACAAATATGGACACTAACTCATGGCCATCAGATGATATCAACAGTGAGTGCACACTACATACATACTAAGCAAATTTGTGCAAGTAGTTCAAGTGGCCAAAATCAGAATGGCTCTACATCCTCGTGCTGAAGAGACAGTCAGATGTCAATTTGAAGGCAAATGGGAATTTTGCATGAAGCAGAATTTCTAAATATGCCAGACTAAACACAATGGACCTGATGATTAATGGGCCAGCATGATTCACAGTGATTTTGAAACTGTCCCTTCTTTACAGACAGTATTTCGTTTGGGAATCTCAGAAAATATTCATAGTGGGAGTACTTCATCCCCAGAAAAGGCATCTTGATGCCAGAATTATACACAAGTTGTATATAGAGGAGAGTGAACTAAAATATCAGCAGATGGCAAACATCCGCCTATGGTTTAACAGAGGAAGTAGGGAATCGAATCAGCTGAGTTTCCTGATCGTAGCAGATGCAGCCTTAGGTATGGTTAACCCCCAGGGATGGAGAACACTCCTCACATGCTCTCCTGCATTTCTTCCCTTCCGGATGCCACCCAGACCAGTGCCGACCTGCACAATGACTGCACAGAGACCCACACGGGCACCTCAGCCTCAGCACCCCTGGCTGCTGGCATCTTCGCTCTGGCGCTGGAAGCCAAGTAAGGCCCAGAAAACTTCTAATCACCTTTATTGCCTCTCCTTCTTTTTAATAACATATATTGCTTTATCAATTATGCTTACAGTAGGAAACTTAGAAAACTATTAAAATATAAGTCCTCTTCCTGTTAACATCTCCATGTAGATTTAACACACACACACACTTATCTTACAAAATTGGGAACTTAGTATACACGTAATTTTGTAATTTTTTAAATCTACCCTATAATATATTAAGAGCACTTTCTCATGGCCAAATCAATGTTCTTTGACCTTTAAAAATTCATGCTTTCCTCCCAGTTTTTCTCCCACTTAGCTGCAAGGCCTTCTCACTTCTGTTTGTTCCCACCAGGAAAGACTTTGTCCAGATAATTTCCTGTGGGCAGTATTAGGAACAATAAGCTTATAAAACATCCCTCTTTTTTCAGATTATATAAACCAATCCTAGAGCTGATCTAACATATCAGGAAACATGAAAATTAAAAACAGAATTATCTGTTTGTAGTATCCCATTATATAAATGCGAATTATATTAAAGTCATCTAATCATATTTAGATACACACTCTTGTCCATAAATATTGGTTGTTATCTCTGATAATTTCCTCAGGATAAACACCCCTGATTGGAATTTCTGGGTCAAAGGGCATGCATGTTTTAATGATTTGGCTACATACTGACAAGTTACTATCTAGAAAGACCATATCATTTTACATTACCTTCAATACTGTGTCCAAGTGCGAGTTTCCTTACCAAAGTTACTTTTATTATCTTTTAAAATGTTTGCTATTTTAATAGGGCAAAATGGTATCTCAACTTTATATGCTTTTATTTCACTAGTGATGAAGCTCAATATCTTATATTCTTTGGCCATTTATCACCTGTGATTGCTTGTTTATGACCTTGATTTTGTTTTATGACCTTAGTTTAGAAAAGCTATTAATGCTTGGTTAGCTTGACATTTACCTTTTAATTTTACTTATATGTAATTTTTATTGCAATGAAATGAGTATATATACACCTATATTTGTCAGTATCTTTAAGACTTTTTCCTTTGCTTTCATGCTCAGAAAAATATTTACGACCTCAAATTAGATTAACATTTATTTATATGTCTTTTATTATGATTCCTTTGCCATATCTAAATTCTAAATTCCCCTGGAATTTTAGTGTATGATGTTAAAAAAGGATTTGGCATTATTTTTTTCCTCATATTGGTTACCCAATAGTACAACTCTTAATACAGAGGAAAAAATCTAACTGTTGCACACTGTGTATCTACAGCTTTTTATCTGTCCTTGTTTCTGCTTTCTGGTGGCAAGAAAACTTTCAATATCAAGTCAGGTGCTCTGGTTGCATGATAGAGGAGGTGGTTAAATTTGCAAGTTACTGTTATCCTCCCTAATAAGAAGGTTATCATAGAAGAACATCTGTATTCTCTAGAGAAAGAACAAAGCATTCCCCTCACATCATATTCAGTAGACGAGGTTCATAATAGCAGAAAAATAGAACACCTTGGCCTGTGCCATGGCTGGAAAAACTCTGAAGTTGCTAAGTATATGTTCTGGAAAGTCCAATGTAGATCCAGGAGCCCTGGGGCCACCTGTGAAGTTATGGTTTCGTCGTGGTATCTCAGCAATGAGATGGCCACAGTGGCTAAGCAAGACAGGCCTAGGAAGTTTTGCACAAGAATTTACCTAGTTGGAGGGACTGGGAAGATGTCTGGTAAGGGAAGAGAAAATCCAGAGGCTCAGTCAGAAATAGGGAAACTTGAAGCTCTGGGGCCCAGGAGAAGAGCTGCATTGAGAATCTGAGTTCACTTGTAACAGGAGAGGAATGGACAGAAGGCAGAGTCTATGAACACAAGGTCAGACTCGCATCAGCAGATCCAACCCAAATTCAAGGAAAAATAATCTAAGCACTCAAAAGTTCAAGGAACACATGGATTCAAGTTCTAGGCATATCCCTACCTTAGGCAAGTTAATCTCCAGTTGAGGGTTCAATTTACTAGCTCTAAAAGGGAAGGGTTAGGGGCGCCTGGGTGGCGCAGTCGGTTAAGCGTCCGACTTCAGCCAGGTCACGATCTCGCGGTCCGTGAGTTTGAGCCCCGCGTCGGGCTCTGGGCTGATGGCTCAGAGCCTGGAGCCTGTTTCCGATTCTGTGACTCCCTCTCTCTCTGCCCCTCCCCTGTTCATGCTCTGTCTCTCTGTGTCCCAAAAATAAATAAACGTTGAAAAAAAATTTTAAAAAAAATAAAAGGGAAGGGTTAGATCTTTTTTTTTTTTTTTTCCAAATTTCTTCCTTTTTGAAAATTGAAGGTATCATCTAACACGAATTACTGAAGTTGGTGGTGGAACATCCAGAGTCGAAGAAAATAAGGTCAAATGAAAGCAAGCTGTCTCACACAGATGGTGAAATAGGCTGATGATAGTTGTGATTTGAGAATATAAGCTGTTAGTTCCAGGAAGCTATAAAAAAAATTATCCTTAAAATTGTAAGTCTTTTCTACCCAACACTTATCAGATGCATGTAAATAGAAGTATCCAGGCCTAACCCATCCTTGTCTAGTGACCAGTATAGTAGAAACACCTATCTCAATGAACAGATGTAATATTAATTTCATGTAAGAACTGAAAATTAAAATTATAACCTCTGATTTCTAAAATTTCAAACTTTTTTCTGTGCAAGAAGAAAATGATCTAAGAATGATCTAGCCTCATTAAATTCAGTTAATTTTTAATATAATATTTTTAAAGCAGGAGCTTCATGGGTTGCTATGAAATAACATAAATGAGTTACCAGCAGTTCATGAACTTCATTGAAACTAGATGCAGAATTGCTTATGAGTATGTGTATGGCACTTTTCTGAAGGAATGGTTTGTGGGTTCCATGAGCTTCTCACACCGTTCATAATATAAGAGATACTAGGAATCCATGGTGCATATAATAAGAATTTAATTCCTTTCATTTTGATTCAATCGTCAATAAGATAGACATACTGTAGCTTACATTTTATATACGTCCTGACAAAGTACATGGAAATTAGTGAGACATCTGTTCTCAAATAGACAGGTTTCTGAACTCTATTCAATTGTCTACACCAAGATGATTATTTCAGAAACTCTGAATGGCAGAATTTCTTTTTTTTTAAATATGAAATTTATTGTCAAATTGGTTTCCATACAACACTCAGTGCTCATCCCAACAGGTGCCCTCCTCAATACCCATCACCCACCCTCCCCTCCCACGCCTCATAAACCCTCAGTTTGTTCTCAGTTTTTAGGAGTCTCTTATGTTTTGGCTCCCTCCCTCTCTAACCATTTTTTTTTCCTTCCCCTCCCCCATGGCCTTCTGCTAAGTTTCTCAGGATCCACATAGGAGTGAAAACATATGGAATCTGTCCTTCTCTGTATGGCTTATTTCACTTAGCATAACACTCTCCAGTTCCATCCACGTTGCTACAAAAGGCCATATTTCATTCTTTCTCATTGCCACATAGTATTCCATTGCATATATAAACCACAATTTCTTTATCCATTCGTCAGTTGATGGACATTTAGGCTCTTTCCATAATTTAGCTATTGTTGAGAGTGCTGCTATGAACATTGGGGTACAAGTGCCCCTATGCATCAGTACTCCCATATCCCTTGGGTAAATTCCTACCAGTGCTACTGCTGGGTTATAGGGTATGCCTATTTTTACTTTTTGAGGAACCTCCACACTGTTTTCCAGAGCGGCTGCACCAGTTTGCATTCCCACCAACAGTGCAAGAGGGTTCCCGTTTCTCCACATCCTCTCCAGCATCTATAGTCTCCTGATTTGTTCATTTTGGCCACTCTGACTGGCGTGATGTAGTATCTGAGTGTGGTTTTGATTTGTATTACCCTGATGAGAAGTGACATTGAGCAGCTTTTCATGTGCCTGTTGGCCATCTGGATGTCTTCTTTAGAGAAGTGTCTATTCATGTTTTCTGCCCATTTCTTCACTGGATTATTTGTTTCTCAGGTGTGGAGTTTGTTGAGCTCTTTATAGATTTTGGATACTAGCTCTTTGACTGATATGTCATTTGCAAATATCTTTTCCCATCCCATTGGTTGCCTTTTAGTTTTGTTGGTTGTTTCCTTTGCTGTGCAGAAGCTTTTTATCTTCATGAGGTCCCAATAGTTCATTTTTGCTTTTAATTCCCTTGCCTTTGGAGATGTGTCAAGTAAGAAATTGCTGCGGCTGAGGTCAGAGAGGTCTTTCCCTGCTTTCTCCTCTAGGGTTTTGATGGTTTCCTGTCTCACATTCAAGTCCTTTATCCATTTTGAGTTGTTTTTGTGAACGCTGTAAGAAAGTGGTCTAGTTTCATCCTTCTGCATGTTGCTGTCCAGTTATCCCAGCACCATTTGTTAAAGAGACTGTCTTTTTTCCATTGGATGTTCTTTCCTGCTTTGTCAAAGATTAGTTGGCCATACTTTTGTGGGTCTAGTTCTGGGGTTTCTATTCTATTCCGTTGGTCTATGTGTCTGTTTTTGTTGAATGGCAGAATTTCTAAAAGTGCCTCTAGACAATCAAGATTGGGATAAATCATTTAACCAAGGGTCACTCCTCAAGGAACAACTATGGAGAACAACCGTGGGCTAAATTTATCAAGAATAATAACCTTCAGTATTTGTCAGGTTCTTACTATGAGCTGGACACTGTGCTAACCTCTTTGTATACAATACTAATTCTAGCCCTTACAACAGCCTTCTGATAAAGAAATTATTACTTGCATTTTATAAAAGAACTTGAGGCTTAGAGAGGTTGAGAAATGTAACCAAGATCCCAAAAGCAGATTCAAATTCAGATCTATCTGACCACAAATCCTGTGCTATCTGCTACTACATACTACACTGCCTCCCACAGGCCTGCAAGGGAGAGGAAATGTTGGATTGGCAGTCCATCAGACCCTCAAAGAAAGAGGTGTTAAGAAGATTGATGCTGATAAAGGACTGTCATAACTCATGTGCTCGTGAGTTTATCATAAAAGACTCCTTGTCACAAGAGGATTACCTATTATACTACATTAAACATTAAACATGACATAGCTGGAATGCCAGGGAATGGGAAGAGGAGAACGGAGGAGAAAGAATAGGTATTGGCTCAAATATGTGTAGAGGAATATTTTTCTTTCCTAGAAGAGTGTTTCTTGAACAGCAGCATAATCCTTTGGGCTTTATTTAATAGGTAGATTCCCAAGTCCTAATGCCAGTGCTCAGATTCAAAAATATCTGGTATTTGACCTGGGAATCCCCATTTTTAACAAGGATCCCAGCTAGTGTTAGTGCTGGGAGTACCTTAACTAAATTTCAAGAAACAACTTCTGTAAAGAGTTACTTTACAATTGCATTTCCCTACAATCTCGTCTAGGTATGGTTGTAAAGATGCTCAATAGGGTACTTAATTGGCACAGCCTCAGTTATTCTGAGGAGAGAGCAGAGGAATCAGAATAATTTTTAATAAAGAACAAAAATTCTGAAGTAAAACACTGACTCCCTTTATACCTGTGGAGGTATTAAACATCCAGATGAACTAATCTATTTTCATTAAAGGCTAGAGAAAGGGAAATAGGATTCGATTTCGATGCTGCAATGGAACTTTTGGTTAAAACACATCAAAGAAATCCTTGACTCAGTGGGTTGTGAAATGTTGGAAAGTGTCCAGGTTAGAAAATCTTTAATATCTAGGTTTACTTACATGTGATTAGAGGCTGAACCAGGTAGCCTGTAAGATTTTTCACTTTAGAATTTTGTCTCTAGATTACTTTACCTACACTAATTAGAAGCAATGCTTAATTTCAATGTTTAATTCCATACTCCTTATTTTCTATAAACATATCCTTGATTAGCAACCTAATGCAGTTTTTAAAAATTTAATTATTGTGGATGCTGTTGAGCACTAATTAACGAAGGAAGGCTGTCAGGAATGAGATGCACTATTGTTAGCAGTTTCTTTTCATTTATGAAATGCGATCACATAAATGGAGAATAATGCTTTAGGAAAACAAGCTTAATTTTCCTAACTGCATGACGGTGAAGTTCCCCTGAATCTTTTGCAAAGATTAGGTTAAAAATTTTTTAAAAATAAAGCCTGCACCTAAATAGAAAATAAATTATCTGCTACAGAAAGTCTATGCTTTATGTTTGATTTCATAACCCTGCCTTATATCTCCTTAGTACACTTCCTCACCCCAACCTCCATATACACACCTGCTCGCACTGATGGTCCAAATGAGAAATTGATGTGTTTCCCACTGACCACAAAGATTAGAAGCTTTTACCTAAAACTTGCTTTCAAAAACTGGAAGGAGGGTGCTTGGATGGCTCAGTCAGTTGGGCATCCAACTCTGATATCAGCTCAGGTCATGATCTCATGGTTTGTGAGATCAAGCCCTGAGTCTGGCTCTGCACTGACAATGCAGAGCCCGTTTGGGATTTTCTTCCTCTCTCTCTCTCTCTCTGCCCCTCCCCTGGTCTATCTCTTTCTCTGTCTCAAAATAAATATATAAGCTTAAAAAAAACTGGAAGGAAGAAAGAATTTCAATAAAATGCTTAATAGAACGGAATTGGTTCCTATACTGAGAAAATAGCCATTTCTGCTAAGATAATTAATTTTTATTAGTTAGTTAGTCAATTAATATTCCTTAGTGTGGGTTGGCCAACTTGGAAACACTACCTAAATAAGGTATTTATGATACTGGGCAGATAGGAGGTATGAATAGGTAAGAATTCTGGAGATTATCATACTCAACCCTCTCATCTTACAGATGAGTCACCTCAGGCTCAGGGAAATGAGGTGACTTGCTTGAGACAGCACAGGTCTTTTTGGTATAAAATATGGTTTGATGTGCTTTCTATTACTCCCTATTCCAACCCCATGATTTGAAAAGACTTTCAATTGTCTTAATTGGTTATATGCTTGTATGCTTTCTTCCAGTTCCTATTATTTTAGCTATGACATAGAATTAACTAGACAGTTTTTTAAATATAAATATCAAAATCATGTCCTATCCTCAGATATTTTGATTCAATAGGTTTACGTGGAATTCAGGAATTTTCACTATTCACAAGTGTAACAGGTAACTATGATGCAAGCAGTCTGGGGCCCATAAGAATCAATGAACTGGAGTCTTTCTAAGCACTCCATCAGTCACTCACTAGAGTTAGGTGTTATGTTTGCCAGGAGCTGAGATGAGAGAGAGAACTAAGCTGCCAGGTGTCAGAATAGCAGATTAAAGCAATAAATACAAAATGAAAGAGTTAAGCCTTTAACTGCTTACTACAATGTTTTAAACAAGAGTCTAAAATCAGAAAAATAAATGCTAACTCCTCCTATTCCATTTTCCTCCATGGAAAAGTGTGCCAGTTGAATGGCAGGTAAAGTAGCACAGACATGGGGAGTCATGTCACTGTTGAGGGAGCCCAAACATAAGGCCCTGCTGGTTTTATTGACTGGGGTGGAGGTGGGGCAGGAATGAAGGCTGAGAGTATGGTACTGGGTACTGAGTCAGAATGGGCAGAAGTATCTTAAGGTGTCCTCCTTTCTCCCCATAAGGAGGCCTTGGGTAGAGTCCAGAGGTCTGAAGAAGACCTCTACCCTTGGCCTCAGATAAGGAGACCTAGGAATGAAGGCAAAAGGGGTGGTAAACTAAATATACCTAACCAGGTAGGGGCCTGAGTCCTTGATGGCAACTCCTTTTAGAGACCACATCTAGGCTGGTGTGGGGAGGGGAGTTTCTCCATAGAGCCTGCCAGGTAGAGCCTTTGTCATGCCTCTAAAGAAACCTGAAAATCACATGTGGAATTTTAACCAAGAACCAGACTCTTCAGTGTTTAAGGATGTGTGTTGCCTCTTTCTTGTCACCAGGGGACTGTTTAACCAGTACATTTTGGGCTCTGAGGAAAAAGAGCAAATTAAGCCAGATTCCCCTGATGGTTGTTTCACAACCTAGTGCTAAGATATAAAACTTGAGGACAAAACTCTTGGGTATTTATTTATTAAATAATGCTTGATTGGCTTGATAGAAACAGTGCAGGTCTCAAAGCTAAGGAAAAGCTTCAGATCCTAAAAGAATCTAATGACAAAATGCCACAAGTTTAAAAATTATTAGGGCTACTTAATACTTAGGCACATTCAGTCATCCAACCAACAAATATTTAACTCAGAATATCGCCTGTGCCTGGCATTCTTCTGAATGGTATACATCAGAGAACTAGATAGATAAAAATGTCAACCCTTCCTACATAGCTATAGCAGGGGAGACAGACATTAATAATATACAAAACAAATGAATTACGCAGTATGTTAGAAGAGTACTATTAAACGGGGGGGGGGGGGAAAAAAGGAAAAGGGAGTTCAGGAGCATGTGAGGAGAATTGAAATTTTAAAAAGAAAGATCTGGGAAGGCTGCATCTTTATTATAATAGATCCAAAAATCCCAAGTATCTCTGATGTATCTTTATATTGCTGATAAGTTAATCTTATCAAGACTTCTAATTATGCCGTTTCCTTGCTCAAAAATCCTTGATTCCCGGTTGCCCAAGGGATAAAGCATAAGCTCCTTTTCCTGGCATCCAAGGTCCTCACCATCCAGCTTAGTACCCTATCACCTCTTCCCTGCTCCAGAAAACCAACACCTCACTGTATTCTGGTCACATCCTATACTTTCACCCTTGTAGGTTTTGTTCTGTTGCCTCATCCCTTTTCTATCTCTTCACTTCTTGACATTCTACCCAAACTTCAAAGTTCAGATAAAATATTTCCTCCTAGCAAAGCTTTCCATCCCCAGAGCTCTTCCTTCTCTAAATTCCTATAACACATGATGCCATGAATAAAGTATTCAACAGGTACATTACAGTTATAGAAAAGCTTAGTTCTTTTGCTGGATTGTGTACTTAAAGATAAGAATCACCTCCTTTGATATCTCCACAGTATTCAGCATAGTGTCTTGCAAGAGTGATGTCAAGTAGCTAAGAGTTTGACAATTTGTTTTAAATTTTAATTCCAGTGTAGTTAACATACAGTGTTAGATGAGTTCCAGGTGTAAAATATAGTGAATCAACAAACCCATATTCGACTCAGTGCTCATCAAGATAAGTATATTCTTAACATTGATATATAAAGAAAAGAGGCAAGATATTTAAGACTATGGAGCCAAGCTATGTCTTTAAAATCTGAGTCTTCCTAAGAAGGAAGTCAAAGCCTCATCTTTGAATGCATAATGTGGAAAGTGCCAAGGCTGTGAATAGACAGCAGAAAACAGAGACACAAAGGAAGTTTTGTCATTTAAAATTTTTGTTCCAGTAAAAATCGGGGACAAAATTACATATTTCTACAATATTGAAACCCAAATTTTACTTATAATAGGAGCTTAATTTATATGGTATGGAGAGAAACTTTCAGTACTGTATTTTAAATTCCAAATGAAAAGATACACCAAAAGAAATACAACAATAAAAGTATAGTTGCAAAAAGGACTTCATTATCTATAAATAGAAGATGCTTGTTTTTACTTTTTTTACTTGTTTTACTTACAAGTAAAACAAGAAGATACAAGTAAAACAAGTAAAACTTTACTTACAAGTAAAACACGAAGATACTTGTTTTACTTTTTCAAGGATACATCATTTTTTGTCCCTGAAAAATATTTTGGGTCATTTCCCCTCCAGTCCAAATCTTACATGGCGAGACATGCAGCACTTGGTTGTCTGGACCTCTGAGTATGACCCACTGGCCAATAACCCTGGATGGAAAAAGAATGGAGCAGGCTTGATGGTGAATAGTCGATTTGGATTTGGGTTGCTAAATGCCAAAGCCCTGGTGGATTTAGCTGATCCCAGGACCTGGACCAGTGTGCCTGAGAAGAAAGAGTGTGTTGTAAAGGACAATGAATTTGAGCCCAGGTAAGTATCTGCAGGAATTTTAAACAAATGTGTGCCCATGGCACTATTTGATTATGATGTTTGTCACTCTGCCTAATTTTTTTCTCACCTACCCTCTGAAGTAGATGGAGAGAGCATTTGACATAGTTCCCTGTGGGCCCATGGGAATCATCGAAAGATCGGAAATCTGCAAGTCAACTTAGCATTTTCCTTTCCTAGCCTATCTATATTCATTGTTTTATATATCACTAAGAAAACTCATTGCCAATTAAACTATTACTAGCTATTAGTTTTAAGATTAATCCCAAAGTCAAAGATGTTAAAGTATTTTTTAAAAATGTATCTTAGAATTGATTATATGTAATACTTACCAACCAATATTATCCAAATCCCATTTCCAGAAGAGCCTCTCTTCACGCTATAGTCCTATGTGATTCATGATTTTTTTTTTTTTCCATGAATGATCATTTACCATGCTGCTTTTACATAAGAACACATCCAGCCTACCAGATCTGGCCAGAGAAGCAGAATCTGGTATAACTATTTTGTTGATTCTTTCAAGGAAACCATGATTATATTAAAGATCAGCTCATTGGGGTGGCTGGGTAGCTCAGTCAGTTAAGCATCTGACTTGAGCCCAGGTCATGATCTCACCGGCTGTGAGTTCGAGTCCCACACCAGGTGAGTTCTAGCCCCACTTACAGGTGAGCTTGAGCCCTGCTTCAGGCTCCGTGTAGCCTATGTGGGATTCTCTCTCTTTCCCTCTCTCTCTGCCCTTCACTCACTCGTGCTCTCTCTCTCAAAAATAAACTTTAAAAAATAAGTAAATCATACATTTCAAAACTAAAAAAAAAAAGACCCACTCAGAAAAAAATCTCAGAGTGGGAGCCTTGGGGAACATTCATTATGGAGATAATATCATTTCTTAAGAGGGCCCATTTCAGTAATGGACCACTTTTTGATGGGTCCAAGGCAAACCTGCCTAAATTCTATTCCACAGCAAATAGCACTATATTCTTGTATCTCTGTTCCTCACCAAATTTTTTTCTTTTCTTTTCTATTTTGTTTTATTGTAGTAAGAACTCTTACCATGAGACCTACCCTCTTTAACTTTTAAGTATACATTATTGTTGATTCTAAGTACAATTGTTACACAACTGATCTCTAGAACTTATGCATCTTGTGTAACTTACATGCCCACTGATTAGCAACTCCATTTTCCCCTAGCCCCAGGCAACCACAATTCCACTTTTTGAATCTATGAATTTGACTATTTTAGATACTTCATTTAAGTAGAATTTTATGCAGTATTTCTCTGTGACTTGTTTATTTTGCTTACCATAATATCTTCAGTGCTTATCCATATTGTTGCATATAGCAGAATATCTTTTCTTTTTAAAGATTATATGTGTTTTACCACATTTTATTTAACCTTCCATCTGTTGATAGACATCTAGGTTGTTTCCACATCTTGGTTATTAGGAATAGTGCTAAAAAGAACATGAGATCTCTTCAAGATCCTGTTTTCAGTTATTTTGGATAAATATCCAGAAGTGGGATTGCTGGATCATTTGATAGTTCTATTTTTAATGTTTTGAGAAAACTTTATGCTGTTTTCCATAGTGACTGCACCATTTGTATTCCCACCAATTATGCAAGGGTTCACATTTCTCCACACCTTCTTCAATACTTGTTGTCTTTTACTTTTTTGTTAACAGCCATCCTGACAGGTGTCTGGATTTGCATTTTCCTGATGATTAGCAAAGGTGAAGTTTTTTTCATATGCCTGCTGGTCATTTATAGGTCTTTTTCAAAAAATATCTATATAAATACTTGGCTCACTTTTTAATCAGGTTATTAATTATTATTATTATTTTTTGGTTATTGAGCTGTAGGAGTTTCCTTATATTTTTATAGGTTAACCCTTTATCAGATATACGGTTTGCAATATCTTCTCCCATTTTTTTAGGTTGTATTTTCATTTCGTTGATGGTTCCCTTTGCTATGCGGAAGATTTTTAGCTTGATGTATTCCCACTTGCTTACTTTTGTTTTGGTTGCCTGTGCTTTAGGTGTCATAACCATTAAACCACTGCCAAGATCAATGTCATGAAGTTTCTTCCTATGTTTTCTTCCAGACTTACGTCTTATGGTGTTTACTCCATTTGGAGTTGATTTTTGTGTAAAATGTTAGATATGGGTCCAATTTTATTACTTTATCTATGGATATCCAGTTCTCCCAGCACACTTTGCTGAACAGACTGCTCTTTCCCCATTGACTATTCTTGGCATCCTTGTTGAAGATCAGTTGACCACATAATCTTGGGTTTATTTCTAAGTTCTCTATTCTGTTATACTGGTCTATATGTCTGTCTTTATGCCAGTACCATACTATTTTCATTACTATAGTTTTGAAATATATTTTGAAATGAGGAAATGGAATGCCTTCAGCTTTGTTCTTTCTCAGGGTTACTTTAGCTATTTGTGGTCTTTTATGATGCATAAAAATTGTAGAATTTTTTTACATTTCTGTAAAAACCTTACCATTTTCTACACATTATTTCTAGCTACTCCTGAATTTTGTTCTACTCATAACAGGGAGAGACAACAAGCTTAGCTGAGTATCTAGTCAAGACTGATGTGTATGTATTTGCATAAAATACAAAGAAGAAGAGATGTACTTTATCCAGTGATTTTGTTCAAAATGTATTTAGAGCCCTGAAAGGTAATGGAGAAGTTATCATTGAAATTCCAACAAGAGCTTGTGAAGAACAAGAAAATGCCATCAAGTCCCTGGAACATGTGCAATTTGAAGCAACTATTGAATATTCCCGAAGAGGAGACCTTCATGTTACACTCACTTCTGCTGCTGGTAAACTTTTTAAAAACTTCAAAAATTTATTCTAAATCATTTAGTTAAATTTTAAAGAGTATATTGAATGATTTTAAATCAATGATTTTTTATAGGGCTGAGTTTCCCAATAGATATTTTCAGGACTTAAGAAAATATGCTTATTTTTAAATTTTTTTGGCATCAGAACTCTGCCAACTCATTCCTACTGGTTCTTAGATAAGCAGAGAATGAGGTCTATATAAATAATACCAATTAATAAAACTTTATGGAGTTACACATTTTCAAACTGTGCTCATTTTCCCAGGTCACTGATCTATCATTCATTTCTCTTAGGCAACATATTAGTGAAAGTTACTCTGATAATTAATAAAGCTGACAAATATATCAGACACATATAAGGAATCAACCAAAAAACTAGGACTTGTGACCCATGAAAGAATATTGAGAAGACCAACAAATATTCCATGATGGCATTGCAAAGGCCATATGATAGAATGTACAGGCAATTGCCCTTTCCTGAGAAAGTACTAACTCAGATGAGATCATGGATAGGGAAGAGGTTGTAAACCATAAACTTTAATCCAACCAGGAAATGCTATCCTAATATTCTTTCATTTTTTAGTAGGATTCACTAGACTAAATTCAATTTCTATAGGTGAGTTATGAGGAAAGATGAGCTCCCTCGGTCATCTCCTTCCAGGATATAAACTTCTTAGAGGTTTGGACTATAGACACTGTTGATTTGGAGTCATGCTTTCTAGCTATCTTGGAGTTGGCCTGAATATGAGTGGAATGCTTTCTTATTGATGGCCCTACAGATCACTTGACCCTTTCATCTAGATCTACAGAGAACTTGGATTTGAAATTTTAGAGTTAAATCCCACTACTAGTTTTTAGATGACAAGACATTATGAAATTAATATAGCTTTATTTTTTTATGCCTACACTAGATTATAGGCACAGGCACCAAATAAATTTTCAAGACTTCCTCTTAAATTTCAAAATGATAGTTCCACTAAAATGTATTTTAGGTCTCTGAATCCATAGTTTGTAAATGTAGTTCTATGAGTTCTCCTTATTCAAAAAAAAAAAAAAAACTTAATCAATATACTCATTATTATTTTACCAAAATATTTACTGAGAACTTATTATATGCCAGGCAATATGCTAATTTCTATGGGTAAAAACATTTTTTTTATAATGTTTCTATCCTGATCTTATACAAAAAAGGGAAAATTAGGAGGGCAACTCTCTCCCAGTTTTCATTTTCATTTATTAGTTGCTAAAGTGTAGCCTACTCTCAATACATTTAGAACATTCATTAATTTGTATTTGTCCCTTGAAAATAGGCACCAGCACTGTACTGTTGGCTGAAAGAGAACGGGATACATCTCCTAATGGTTTCAAGAATTGGGACTTCATGTCTGTTCACACATGGGGAGAGAATCCCATAGGCACCTGGACCTTGAGAATTACGGATATGGTAAGTATGAAAGAAAAGATATAGAAACACAGGCTCACTTTTAAACATTTTCAAGTACTTTTAAGATTGGTATCATCATTAATCAAGGTCCTAAGGCATTCAAGTCACTCTCTAGTAAAAGTAAGGAAAAGGTGTAATGTTTCAATCCCTGCCCACTTGGCTTTATAGACTGACTGACTAAATAATTAAATAAATAAGCCATACCATAATAAAGAAAAAAAAAAGATGTATTAATAATGTTACAGACTACGTGACAAATCCAAGTGTTCCAATGTCAGAATGCCGCCAGCCATATGACCTACTCAGACACCAGAATTACCTCTATTTACAAAGACAGTTAAATGCTATACCAGCCTTGCTATGACATTCTGCTGGGGTCACATGAAGAAACTCTTACCACTTCTTACTATAGTGGCTATTGACTTGTTACACAAGAAATCTTATTTAATATGACTTTTTTGTTTTGTTTTGCTTCAGTTATGAAACAAACTGAAAAGCATTTCTCACTTCTCTTTCACTCTGTTTACTAACACTCTTTGATATCTTTCTAAAATTGTAACTCATGATAACAAAAATAGAGTAAGGAGTGTCTGAGCAAAAAGCTAAATACAGCTGAATTATCTACTTTTGCATCATTTCTCCAGCATTTTCTACAGGTTGAGCACATATACAAACAGTGTTTCAGGTCTGAGTTCTCCCAAGATAGAACTGTTCAGCAGCATCGGATTCCAAAGTCTAGATAACTCTTTTAAAAGAAATTATTTTAAATTCCTAAAGATTTCCATTAAATTAATACAAATTCTATAGTCATTGTTACATTTTTCTCTCTGAGAATAGCTTTCCCCTACAGACTGCAAAAATTATGATTTAGAACCAGAATCTGTAAAAATTCCTGCTCTCATAGGAAGAGCAAGAAAATGTTCTTAGGAAGTAGTTCTATTCTTGAACTTGTCCTCTGTTCTTTAACTCAATTTCATCTTTAAAAAACTAAGAAAAATCGGTTTACCAAGATAAGACTATTTTATATCAAGTCTGTAAAATCTGAGCCTACACTTTCATATTCTTTTTAGATATTTTTAGATTTCAGCACATTGTTTTTGGCATAACTGTTGAGCCTCTGAAAATTATTACTCTTCCCATAAATATACAGTTTTTAAGTGCTGATTAATACTGAAGTCTATTTATAATACTCCAAAGAGGCTTTTTCTCAATTGGAATGTTTCTACAAGCTGATAATTACTAAATATAATTCTATTTATGGAAAGTATAGTCAACTTTCCAAGAACAGAATAGAAAAGAACATTCATGTAAAGAGTTTTGCTTTTTTAATTAAATGAAGCAAATAATCAGTCTTTAAATCCTCGAACCTATAAACTGTCCATTTTCATGACAACAGTGAATCCAATGATTTACTTCTTTGTACATAGTGCTCTACACATGGCATGTACAGAATTTTTAATAGATTTTACAGATACTTTTAAGGAGTTTGAAATTTCTCAGAATACACCCTAAACTTATGTGTATGCTTATCCGTAGTCTGGAAGAATGCAAAATGAAGGAAGAATTGTCAACTGGAAGTTGATTTTTCATGGGACCTCTTCTCAGCCAGAACACATGAAACAGCCTCGTGTGTACACATCCTACAACACCGTTCAGAATGACAGAAGAGGGGTGGAGAAGATGGTGGATCCGGGGGAGGTCTGTGTGGCTCTGTTCTCTTGAGCATTCTTGGCACATCTTTCTTTGAACTGTAGTAGACAATGTAGTGAGTAGAGCTGTATCTAATTTTCAGACAAAGAGAAAGTCAAACGTGAGTGGGGAGAAAAGGGAGTGAGAGTGCCAAACTGTTTGCCATTAAATAAAACCCTCATATTATTTAAGTTTATTCTTTTGTCCAGAATTTAGAGATTAAAGTTGATGAATTCAAAGGTATGAAATTCTCTAACATGAGAATTTATAACATATCAACTTACATGTATCAAAATGTATGACATATCAAATTATATAGAGAGCTATCTTTTAAAAAATTAAAAAAATTAAAGCTTATTTATTTTTGATAGAGAGAGAGAGAGTCATTGAGTGAGTATGAACAGGGGAGGGGCAGAGATAGAGGGAGACACAGAATCCAAAGCAGGATCCAGGCTCTGAGCTGTCAGCACAAAGCCCAACGCAGGGCTGGAACCCACGAACTGCAAGATCATGATTTGAGCCAATGTTGGACGCTTAACTGAATGAGCCACCTAGGCACCCCTAAAAAAAGAGCTATCTTTATGCATGATCACATATGCCTAATGTCTGTATCACACATACTTTTCAAGTATTTTTTAACATTGTCTCATTTAACCAATAATCCCTGTAACCTAGAGAAGACAGACATTTAGCATGTCCATTTTCCAGAAAGAAAACCAAGGCTCAAGTGACCAAATCCTGTAGGCTTCTCTTTACTAATTCCTTAACTGTCACTTTTTTGGCAGCTCTAAGGGAAGCCACTGAATCCCAGTCTCAATTTCTCTGAGAAAATTTCATACGATAGCTAGTCAGTCATTCCTGTTCCTACTGAGACTCAGCCTACTGAGGCTGCTGGCTTCTCTCTTATCAGACAGTGGACAGACACCACATTTTGTTTATCTCTTAATCCCCCAGCATCTAGCACAGTGCCTCAGATGTAGTAGGTAGGTAATCAGAATTTCCAGAATGACCTTTCATGAAGTCTGGCTCAGTGATGGGTATTTTGGGAGATATAAAGATGTACTTATTTAAGAAACTTATAGGGGCGCCTGGGTGGCTCGGTCGGTTAAGCGTCCGACTTCAGCTCAGGTCATGATCTCGCGGTCTGTGAGTTCAAGCCCCGCGTCGGGCTCTGTGCCGACGGCTCGGAGCCTGGAGCCTGTTTCCGATTCTGTGTCTCCCTCTCTCTGCCCCTTGCCCCTCCCCCGTTCATGCTCTGTCTCAACAATAAATAAACTTAAAAAAAAAAAAAAAAAAAGAAACTTATAAACTAGTTGTATGAAGTCCTCAGCTCAGATTCTGGTTCCATTTACATTCTGCAAAGCAGCTTACCCCCGCCCCCTGGGGGCCCCCACCACAGAGGCCTTTTCTTCATAGTCCCAGAGGCAAGCTGACTTTATGGGTATTTCTCCCTCCAAGATTCCTTAAGGGGTATGAATCAGACCCTACAGTTGTTAAAAAGTTGAGTTACTTCCACACTGGTTGACAAAGCTGCTTCTCTGATATCTCCAGTTCCACCCCATGTGGCTTATCACCCTGGTCTCTCCCAAGACCCCTTTATAAAACTCAGGGGCTGAGGGGCACATGGGTGGCTCAGTTTGTTAACAAACTGAGTTTGTTAACAAACTGAGCCACCCATCCAACTCTTGCTTTCCACTCAGGTCATGATCCAAGGTTCATAGGATGGAGCCCTGCGTTGGACTCTGTGCTAACACCTTGGAACCTGCTTGGGATTCTCTCACTCCCTCTCTCTCTGTAACCACCCCCCTCAAAATAAAAAAAATAAAAAATGAAATAAAATGAAATGAAATAAAACAGAACAGAACAAAACAAACTCAGTGGCTAAAAGGGTAGCTGATGACAGAACAAGGGGCCTCCAGGAAACTTCATTCACATGAAGCATTGCTAGTGTCTTCTGTATGAGTTATTAAATATTTTAATACCAATTTCTTCCCAAAACATGGGCAGGGAGGAAAGGCAGTGGGAATGGTAAACTGTTTACTTTCCATAGGATGAAACTGTATTATTTTAAAAAATATTTTCTTTCATTAGAATTAAAATTAAAATTAAGGAATCTAAAATTATTAAACTCCCTAAAATGAATTCTACTATAGAAGGCTGACAAGTACAGCAGGCCAATAAGGTATGAATACATATACATGATCCCATTCAGTCTTCAGAACCACCAGAAATGAAAGACTCTTGTTCTCATTTTACAAGTGAAGTTCAGGGAAATTAAACAGGTGCCAGGAGAACATGAGTAAATGCAAAAATGAGGACTGAAGCCCAAGTTAGTATGTCTCTAAGCCTCATGCTGTCTCTGCTTCTCAAAGGGTTTCTTAAAAAGTGTGCAGTGGACATGTGTTGCAGCTGGCTTGCCAGGTTCTAAATAATGAATCTTCTTCCTTTTGTCGGTGGCGTTCTATGTTTTAGGAGCAGCCCACACAAGAGAACCTGAAAAAGAACCCCCTCATGTCAAAGAGCCCTAGTGGCGACAGTACAGGGGACAGGAGGAATGAGCTGGCAGAGGCAGCCCCATCCGAGGCGATGCTGAGACTCCTTCAAAGTGCTTTCAGCAAAAACTCACCCCCAAAGCAATCACCAAAGAAGCCTCCAAGTGCAAAGCTTAACATCCCTTATGAAACTTTCTATGAAGCCCTGGAAAAGTTGAACAAGCCTTCCCAGCTTAAAGAGTCCGAGGACAGTCTATATAACGACTATGTTGATGTTTTCTATAACACGAAACCTTATAAGCACAGAGATGACCGGCTGTTGCAAGCTCTGGTGGACATTCTGAGGGAAGAAAATTAAAATAAGTGTGGAGTCCTGAGTTGGAAATATTCATGCTTCTTCCTTCCCCTTAGATTTTGCCTGTGTCTGAAGTGGTTGTTTTTGCCATTGGTTCTTATGCTTATGATATCCTTTGTGGTACTTTTGCTTTTGCTCGCCCGACTGGGCGTTTGAAAGGGATGAGCTCAAGTAGAAAATCCAACTTTCTGAATTGATAATGACTCTTTCAAAACACATATTCCCTGCTTGCACAAGTGAGATGCTTTGTTCTTTCTGGAGCCACAGTTCATTTCATTTGCGGTCCTCATACCACATTAGAATGCCTCCTTGAGCCACGATTTCACTTCTCAAAAGAAATGCCATCGCCTGGGTAACATATTAATTTGAAGAAGTAAATCTGCAAAGAATGAGAGGGAAGAAAACTGTTCCTACAACTTGTCCCTTGTCTTTGCCACACGGTTCTTTGAACTGTGATGCCATAGATAGGTTTGGAAAGTTTCTAATGAAAGAGTTCCCGATTAGACCCATATCCTTGGCTTTTCTACCGCAAAGTACGACTCATTCAGGAAATGGCGATTTCGTCATTTGGGAGAGAAACTGAGTAATTTAGATCCAGAAACAATTCTCAGAATTTGTGTTATCTGGTTTGAGCAGTTTTAGAACATTTTTCTTTGTTTGGTGTGCTACGCAGAGGCCTCTGTGGACCTAAAGGTGACTAGGACTTAAGGTGTGTGCTCTGGCCTTTCCCTGTTTCCCCTTATATTTTCATTACCTATCTCCTTCCTCGGCCACAATCTGAATACTGAGAGAAGTAATTATCCTACTTAGAATAAACTTACGCTCGGGATTTGGCAAATCCCTTGTCATATTTTTTCACAATAATCACAGGAAACCACTCATAACACCAGGAACCAATGTAAATAGGAAAATATTTATAATGGGGAGAGCCAAAGGTAGGTTTTGTTTGTTTTTAAATTGTATTCATTAGAACAGGTTTTTCTGGATCCTTAAAACTGAGTGTTCATTCCTTGCCACTAAAGGCTCTTCCCCAGTCTTACAGCTGATAGTATCCAAAATCTTACCAAATTGCTTCCAATATTCAGCTCAAGAGGCCACAAGCTGGCAGTCCATGGGCCACATTTGTCCCTCAGGTAGATTTCCTTTGGCACATCAAATGATTTAAACATATAAGTGGTTATTAAAAATATGAAATTTCACATAAAGCTTGATTCTCAGACGCATTTCCCTTCCTGGCAACAGTTGGCTAGAGCTGAACAGCAGCTGCCCAGATAGATTTGAGTACCTGGTCCCTGAGGTGCCCTGCTCCATGTTGCTTAAAGTGGCTACCCTACTGGTCAACACCCAAAAAGCATTTGATTTTTCCCACTGCTGCACTAAACAAACTTACATAAAGTATAAATGCATTAAGGAAAAAAAAATCCTCTACTTCTTCCAGGTAGGATCTGTGTGATAATCAATCATAATGAGAACTTGCCATGATCTAGTTAATTTATAGGTGAGGGGAAATGATATTTTAGACCCCTGAAAGCACCTCTGAAATCCAGTTTGACATATTCATTTAATCTCACCTTCCCTGGATTCTCATTTACACTAACTCATTAATGGACAACGTCTGGATTCCCATTCTCTATGTGCTCACAAAAGCTCCAGTCACCTACGATGCAGGCATTCTCCCACTGAGTCTGCTGTTTGTAATTCTTTCTTAAAGTTTGAACTTCACAATGTCACACGTGAACTGGACCAGGAGGTTAACTACATTGAACTAGACTGGGAAGAGAACACTAGAGTCTGTCACTTGCTATGGTTTGAAGTGTAGTGAAAAAGACGATGTTTCACCTCCTCGTCTACAGTTTGCATTTGTGCAGAATAAAAGTATGTGCAGAGCAATCACCATGATGCTTCAAGGATGTTCTCCTAAAAGAACTCCAGGATCACGCTATCCTTGGAAGTTTCACATGTTGTTCAATATAGAGTATTGGACAGACTTTGAAAATTGAAGTAGATCAAAAAGTATTAAAGCCAAAAAGGACCAACAAGTTATTAGATAAGTTTTCAACTAAAAAACAAAGCTAAGGCCCAGAGAGGCCAATACATAGTCATAAACAAAACCTCATCCTTTCCCCTTTCCTACTCTCATGCTAATTGTATTAAGCTTTTTTTTTTTTTTTAATCCTTCTAATAATGTATTTTCCTGGTTGAAACCCCCAACCCACTCATTGGATTGTAGCCAAAGGTTAACTCTAGAGAAGCTTTAATATTTAAATAAAGTCATGTTTGAATGTTTCTGACCTGGAATATATTGTTCAGACATAGAATATTTTTGTCAGTCTTTCTTAGTGCCTGTGGATTTTTGTGAAAACGTAAAAGAGGAAACTTATATAATATTTCCCTCAGAATTTTAAACTATATTTTCTTTACAGGTATTTATAATGTACCAGTGCTTTTATCAGAATTTTAAAAAGCATAATAAATTATATTAAAGAACCAAAACTTTCCTGAGAATAAGAAAGTTTCATCCAATAAAATATTTTTGAAAGGCATGTTCCTCTGTCAGTGAAAATAAATGTATAATATGTATGTGTTATGATATTAAAAGTGACATTTGTCTAATAGCCTAATACAATGTGTTTAACATGCGTGGTCTTAGCATTTTTAAGGGAACTCTCAAATTATACACTTGTATTAACCAGAATATGTAAAATATGCTTATACATCTGAAGAATAAATGGTTTCTCACTAAGTTAAAAAGGAAAAAAAGCTCATGTTTCCAACAAAAACAAAATCTCCTTCTCTATGTTTCTAACATGAACTATAAAAAAGAAAAATTGAAGATGTACATTAAGAAGATAATTCCTTTTAGAAAAAAAAAAAGCTAATTCCTTTTGAGACAAATGGACTTTCTCAAAGTCAATTTAAGAATTTACTTCAACAGGTATGTTTCATTTTCCTTCATAGCTCAGTTTCTTACTATTTTTTCATTAAAAAATTTTTTTAACACTTACTCATTTTTGAGATACAGAGAGAGACAGAGCATGAGCATGGGAGGGGAAGAGAGGGTCACAGAATCCGAAGCAGGCTCCAGTCTCTGAGCTGTCAGCACAGAGCCCGTCGCAGGCTCAAACCCACGAGCAGTGAGATCATGACCTGAGCCGAAGTCGGACACCCAACCGACTGAGCCACCCAGGTACCTCTCTTACTTGTTTTGACAACATCCCAAGTTATTTGACTGAGTCTTCACTGAAGTGTTGAGGAAAAAAAGCAAAGCACAAACCAAAGGGACTTACTATGTGTGAGAGAAAGGACTTCAACACTTCATCAAAAATGACTTTTTTATAGGCCAGATACAGTAGCTCCACATTAACCACCCCCGCTCGGCCAGAGGCCACTTATCAGAAGTTCCCAACTTCCAAGTTTAATCTCCCATCTTCAGGCCCACATTCCTCTCTTGCTTCAAACCTCCATCCCTGGAATGGCCACCCAGCCACTTCAGAATCTGTCTTCTTTCCAGGAGGTGGTTTTCCCCCAGACTCCATTCCTTTCTTCTGAGTTACAAATATTAATTCAAAATAAAATAATTTTTCCGGAATTCCAGAAGAACTGTTCTAACTGGCTTTTGTCCTCAAAGTCCAGCAATCTTTAAAGTCTACCCACCAGGAGGGCTGAAGATAGCTCTCTGGTTACTTTTGAATACTCATTTGGTAACTATTAGATTAGCCATGTATAGGCTACAAATCCAAATCCAAATACACAGTGAGATAAACATTAATTCTTAAATACAATTTCAATCCCTAAGAAAGAAGAGTAATGTTTTCCTAACTGCCTCATAATTTTGTAAGGCTACAGTACTAATACACATGATGATGATGACGACGACAGTTTTTGGTCCAGCATTCTCAAGGCATGTGGAGGGAAGCAGAAATCACTTTCCTGGTTTCTATGCCAAACTTCTGCCATGTGTGTTGCTCCATCCTCTTGCCCCTGTGGGCCAAGGGTAGTTTCCTGGGCCATCTATGTTAAGCTTGACCCTGTGATTTGTTTTGGCCAGTGGACATGATACAAGCAAAGACCTTCAGCGTGCTTATACAATTTGGCCTGGCTTTTGCTTTTCGGTCATCTAGTGCAATGAGAAGAGTGTGCCCCAGGGAACTACTGCCTCTTCAACCTGTTTCCAGAACAAATATATATGGAGCAGATCTACATTCTGGATCCAAATCGAGCCAACTCACAGCATGAAACAGAGCTGACCAGATGAGGACTACCTAAAGATGCTGAACTGTTACCATGGCAGTTAGGAGAATAAGAATAAATACTTGTAAGCAATTGAGTCCTGAGTAAGTTTGTTATGCAGCTTTACGTGCAACAAAACTGACTAATACAATAAAAATTCCATTTATTCATTCCGCTATCAGTACCATCCCTTTCAAATTGTGCCTTCTTGAGCCTAGAGCACAAAAAAAAAAAAAAAAAAAAAAAAAAAAA